CTTTGTGACTTTGTCCTTATCCATAACTATTTTACATTTGGGGACAATGTATACCTTCAGATCAGCGGCACTGCTATGGGTACCCGCATGGCCCCACAGTATGCCAACATTTTTATGGCTGATTTAGAACAAGGCTTCCTCAACTCTCGTCCCCTAACGCCCCTATTCTACTTGCGCTATATTGATGACATCTTAATCATCTGGACCCATGGAAAAGTAGCCCTTGAGGAATTCCACCATGATTTCAACAATTTCCATCCCACCATCAACCTCAGCCTGGTCCAGTCCACACTTCCACTTCCTGGACACTTCCAGTCCACAGATCCACTTCCTGGACACTACAGTGCTAATAAACAGTGGTCACATAAACACCACCCTATACCGGAAACCTACTGACCGCTATTCCTACCTACATGCCTCCATTTTTCACCCTGACCACACCACACGATCCATCGTCTACAGCCAAGCTCTGCGATACAACCGCATTTGCTCCAACCCCTCAGACAGACAAACACCTACAAGATCTCTATCAAGCATTCTTACAACTACAGTACCCACCTGCGGAAGTGAAGAAACAGATTGATAGAGCCAGAAGAGTTCCCAGAAGTCACCTACTACAGGACAGGCCTAACAAAGAAAATAACAGAACGCTACTAGCCGTCACCTTCAGCCCCCAACTAAAACCCCTCCAACGCATTATTAAGGATCTACAACCTATCCTGAAGGATGACCCAACACTCTCACAAATCTTGGGAGACAGTCCAGTCCTTGCCTACAGACAGCCCCCCAACCTGAAGCAAATACTCACCAGCAACCACATACCACACAACAGAACCACTAACCCAGGAACCTATCCTTGCAACAAAGCCCGTTGTCGACTGTGCCCAAATATCTATTCAGGGGACACCATCACAGGGCCTAATCACATCAGCCACACTATCAGAGGCTCGTTCACCTGCACATCCACCAATGTGATAGATGCCATCATGTGCCAGCAATGCCTCTCTGCCATGTACATTGGTCAAACTGGACAGTCTCTACGCAAAAGAATAACTGGACACAAATCAGATGTCAAGAATTATAACATTCATAAACCAGTCGGAGAACACTTCAATCTCTCTGGTCACGCAATTACAGACATGAAGGTCGCTCTCTTACAACAAAAAAACTTCAAATCCAGACTCCAGCGAGAAACTGCTGAATTGGAATTCATTTGCAAATTGGATACTATTAATTTAGGCTTAAATAGAGACTGGGAGTGGCTAAGTCATTATGCAAGGTAGCCTATTTCCCCTTGTCTTTTCCTATTCCCTCCCCCCCCAGACGTTCTGGTTAAACTTGGATTTATGCTGGAAATGGCCCACCTTGATTATCATACACATTGTAAGGAGAGTGGTCAGTTTGGATGAGCTATTGTCAGCAGGAGAGTGAGTTTGTGTGTGTGTGTGTTTGGCGGGTGGGGGGGGGGTGAGAAAACCTGGATTTGTGCTGGAAATGGCCCACCTTGATTATCATACACATTGTAAGGAGAGGTTTCAGAGGAACAGCCGTGTTAGTCTGTATTCGCAAAAAGAAAAGGAGTACTTGTGGCACCTTAGAGACTAACCAATTTATTTGAGCATGAGAGCTGTGGCTCACGAAAGCTCATGCTCAAATAAATTGGTTAGTCTCTAAGGTGCCACAAGTACTCCTTTTCTTATTGTAAGGAGAGTGATCACTTTAGATAAGCTATTACCAGCAGGAGAGTGGGGTGGGTGGAGGTATTGTTTCATGGTCTCTGTGTATATAATGTCTTCTGCAGTTTCCACAGTATGCATCCGATGAAGTGAGCTGTAGCTCACGAAAGCTTATGCTCAAATAAATTGGTTAGTCTCTAAGGTGCCACAAGTACTCCTTTTTTTTCTGCCTTATAGTGAGACTCAAATAGGTCAGTCCATTCAGACTTGATTACAGGGTATAAGTAGCAAATATTGAGAGAGCAAATATTGGATAATGGATTCCTCAATCTAGCAGAAAAAGGTCTAACATGAGCCAATGGCTGGAAGCTGAAGCTAGAGAAATTCAGGCTGGAAATAAGGTGTAAACTTTAACAGCGAGGGTAACCAATCATTGGAACAACGTACCAAGGGTTGTGGTGGATTCTAAATCACTGACAATTTTACAATCTAGGCTAGATAGTTTTCTAAAAGCTCTGCTCTAGGAATTATTGTGGGGCAGGTTTTTGGCCTGGGTTACACAGGAGTTCAGACTAGATGAGCACAGTGGTCCCTCTGGCCTTGGAAACTGTGGATTTGTGGGTGCTCGACTCAGTCTGCATCTTGGGTACTGTTGGTTTCTGTAGTGACAGTGCCTTATGGTATCTAAGGCCATTCTGCCCTGCATGTAGGGAGAAGGAAAAGAGCACTAATCATATTCTAAACTCTTGTCTAAACTGCTCTGTGAAATGTGCAGCTTAACCAGGGCATGTGCTGGTGTGTGTTAAAGTTCCAGTTCACCCCTGCACATGGTGGCTTAGCCCATCCCCCCCCCATCCTTGTTCACCGCAATGCATGGTGGCTTAGCTCATCCCCCATTTCTGACTATCCTAGTTCACTCCAAAGCATGGCAGCCTAGCCCATCTCCCCTCCCTACTTGTGCCCCCGCTTCTGTCATGCTAAGTGTAACCCATCCCCCCCTGCTGTCCTAGTTCAGCCAGGCAGTTTGGCAGCAGATTGGCTCTCGGGTGGTTAGGGCATGCACCACAGCTCCTTCAGTGATTTTTCCCAAAGGGCTGTTAGGGTGTGACTTCTCACATGATTCCCCGGAGCTCTGTAGTGCCTTTCACCATTTCCCAGCATGTTGCGGCAGGGAGCTGTCAGGTTCTGTGGGAGAGCTAGACAGAGAAGCATTGCAGCTGAGTGATAGTGTGGCCAGGGGCCACAGCTGAAAGTGTCATTAATGCAGTTCATCCAGGCTGATGCAGGAGCACTGACTATAGATATGCTGCTCTCTACTATAGGTAGGACCCTACCAAATTTGTGGTCCATTTTGGTAAATTTCACTGTCATAGCATTTTAAAAATCTTGAATTTCATGAAAAGAAAAGGAGTACTTGTGGCACCTTAGAGACTAACCAATTTATTTGAGCATAAGCTTTAGCTCACGAAAGCTCATGCTCAAATAAATTGGTTAGTCTCTAAGGTGCCACAAGTCCTCCTTTTCTTTTTGCGAATACAGACTAACACGGCTGTTACTCTGAAACCTTGAATTTCATGGTTTCAGATATTTGAATCTTAAATTTCACAGTGTTGTAACAAACCATGAATATGTATTTAAAAATGGCAAAATATACATAGAATCATAGAATATCAGGGTTGGAAGGGACCTCAGGAGGTCATCTAGTCCAACCCCTGCTCAAAGCAGGACCAATCCCCAATTTTTGCCCCAGATCCCTAAATGGCCCCCTCAAGGATTGAACTCACAACCCTGGGTTTAGCAGGCCAATGCTCAAACCACTGAGCTATCCCTTCCCCCTTACATGTGGAAAGCCCCTTTCTCAGCATTTCTCAAACTGGAGGTCTTGACCCAAAAGGGGGTTGTAAGGTGATTGGGGGATGGGGAAGGGGTTTGCGGTATTGCTATCCTTACTTCTCTGCTGCAGTCAGAGCTGGGTGGCCGGGGAGGGGCGGCTGCTAGCCTGGCACCCAGCTCTGAAGGCAGTGCTGCCACGGCGCCAGCAACAGCACACAAGTAAGGCTGGGAATACCATGCCACCCTTACTTCATCGCTGCTGCTGGCAGTGGTCAGAGGAATGATGCCTCTGCTACTCCATAAGCCGCTGCTTTTTTAACCCTACTGTTGACAAGCTAACTGAAACAGAAGCATGCGACCAAACTAACTATTACTTAGAATTAATTACCAACTGCTGGTCTAATGACTAAGTAACAAGATTACTAGGGAACGACACAGTTGTTCCCACTTCCTGCCTGAGATGGTTAGAAGGAACCGAGTGGCAACTGGGGTTGCTGTGCCCTTAATGACCTCAGGGGAGTGGGGGTGAGGCCATGCAGGGTGTGGGTACCACCCTCCTTGGACACTGCTGGTGAAAACATTCTGAGCTCCTGTGCTGGGCACACGGACACTGAGTGGGATCCACACATGCAGTAACTCAAAGAGCTAAGCATATCCCATGGCATGACAGGAAAAGCTAATGCTCTCTCATCACCACCCCTGTAAATTCTTGTGCCCTTTCTTGTCCTAGCATCTGAGACGTAATGAACTCATATACATCCCTATGCCTGTATTCCACCCACTGCCTCCTGATTGTTCCCTTCCCCAACAGCTGAATGACAGAGTGCGACAGAGGGTGCAACAAACATAACTGTGGGCCTGGCGCCCAGCTGTACCAGGCAGCACCTAGAGATGCAGCCGCTGAGCCAGTACTGCCTGGTGGGATCCGAGCACTCCTGGCACCCCCACAGCTGTCTGTAAAAAATATTCCTTCCGGTGCTGGGAGTTGAGCCTCAGGCCTGCAGGCCTCTCTCTCGCCTCATCTGAACGTGGATGGTGGGAGAGGAGGGAAAATGCACTTCAGGGGAAGGAGGGTATGGAGAAAATGAATGGGGTGGGGATTTCATATAGCAGCAGAGTAACATGCCTTTCAGTTTCTAACCACGTGCACTGTCAGACTGTTCTGGGGATGCAGGTTTATGGAAGGGGGTTTGCCTGACATCTGGTGTCGGGCCTGGCTGAGCTAGAGCTCCCTGCCCCGAAAAGGCTGTTTCAGGCACTGTGGCATTTGGGATGCTGAGTTCTATAATGACGTCGCTGGTGAAAGCCTTGTGTGGTGGGGGGATGTGCATGCCTTTGGGCATCCTTCAGGGACATCTCCTGTACTGCTGTCCTCTCTGCAGAGGCAGGGAGTGCTGCCCTCTCTCTCCAGCATGCATGCGTCTGAAGATGGAGCTGCAGGCAGGATTGGGGTTGCTCAGAGCCTTATGTCTCCTGGGATTGGTGTTGCAGGAGGGGAAGCTGGTGGAGAAGGACACATCGACGTGGCAGCTGCAAGGAGAGCCCACAGTGCTGATCACCCTGACACACATCTTTAACCACTTTGCACCTCTCATGGTGAGTGCTGGCTGCTGGACGTGCGTGTGCTCCCCCACAGTGCTTGCAGGGAGGGGGACCCACAACTCCTCCTTGTTTTTCACAGCTGCCTGCTCAGGCAGAAGGGGTGACACGCTCCGGTATTGGAGAATTCACAAGCCTAGAGTTGTTAGGTAGTCCCAAGTCGCGAATAGCCCCTCTCCCATGGGGTGGCAGCTCCCCTTGCAGCCTGACTGAGGGAGTGATGTTGCAGAGCAAGTGCGGAGGCTTTGTTTACACCAGGGTGTGTGCTTTCTGTTTGGTCAGTAAATTGCAGAGTAGTGGTGGTAGGGGTGAGATTGGCGCTGCATTGCAGGGGGTTAGTGGGCTGCAGGACACACTCTTTTGGAACCCTTTGTACCCTGAGTTTGGCAGTCAGGCTCTTCATGGGCTCTGCTTTCTTGCTTTCACATCTACTGTCGCCCATTTTTGCCTGGCACTTGTCAGAAACGGTCCAGTTTCCGTGTACTCCTAGAGTGGGCTGGGCTGTTCCTAGCACCGAGCCGGGCATTGCTGCCAGAGGCGTCATCTTCAGTCTGCAGTAACAGGAACATCCCATTGGCAGCAGTAAGTCACCGTTCCTACCTGACGCTGGCTCCCAGCAAGTCTACAGCTTTCCACCTGGGCCTAGACCCTCCATGTAGTGCTGAGAACCCATTCTCTGCTCCTGTGTGGTGCTGCTGCTGGCTAGAGCTGCTGACCACAGGCTTTCTGTTTGCAGTGCAAAGTGTACCTGGTAGATGATGTGCTCATGCACTTCCTGCTGAGCATTCTGGAGCGAGGAGGGGCTGTGGAAGCACATCCTCTCATCCAGCAGCTACTGGATCTCATGTGGCTTCTCATGGAGGTGAGTTGCTCAGGCACTTCCCCCTCTTTCACTCTGCATCCCCTTGGTTCTCTGTGGCAATGGGCAGGTGTCAGGATCTCGGTTGGGTGCACCCTGCAGTGGCATGGTTTAACAGCTGAGTTGGTTTCTTGCCACCATCTCGCAAAGCAGCTTTGCCTGCCAGCTGCACTCCCTTAAGAATGCAGTACCAGCATCTGGTGCCCTGGCACTGGCTGTTCTCGGCACGCCAGGCCCTGGCTGCAGTGACTGTAGGGAGGGGGCTGGGAAGAACTAGATTTATAATTAGAAATTGCTGGTCATAGTGAGCTTCTGCTCCCACCCAGAACCCAGTGACCAGGTCCTTTCAGTGTTAACGACTGTTCCTTGTGGTGAGGGAAAGGCCGAGCTGCTACTGGGGAGCTGGGAAGGGAGGAGGAAGGAGTTCGGTATTCCTGATCTCTGAAAAGCGATTTTTTAATCAGACTTTTCTAGCTTCCCTAACTATAAATAAACTCTGATGTTAATTTATTTAACTTACTGCATGTGTGACAGTAAAACTCTTACTCTTGATTAAAACTCTTTGAAAATAACCACTATTTAGTAATACTTCTGTAATTATAAAGTTCTTTTCAGTGGAGCAGCCAGGGGCTACCTGGGAAATATTAGAGACCATGACATTGTATTGGCTGCAGTGGGAACTAGTGTTGCACCATTGCCCTCTTAGTAGGGTTAAAGAAATACAACCCATCCTCTGCCCCAGGCTCAGCGAGGCCAGGAGGTTGTGCCCCTTCCTGGGAAGTGTCAGAGCTGGCTTTGGCAGGCATCTCCTGGGAACCCCCTTCTGCGAGTACCTTGGGGGGTCTAAACCCAGAACTGGCAGAAGCAGCCTGGCGGCTAATCTAACTGCTCCAGGAGCTGTAGGGAAGAGAATCTTTTGGGTAGCTGGGGTCAGGCTTGCAGGAGTTCCGGGGTATTGCCCACCCCTGTGGTTGCACCTGGTTAGCAGATGGCTGCTACTAGCCCTCAGCACCGTGGGTCAAATGCTGCAGTGAAATCTCCCCAAGCGTGTTCTGGAGACTTGCTGGCCCGTAGCTCAGGTGACAGATTGCCCCTTGCCTCCCTCTCTCTCCCTCTCTCTTTTATTGCTGTCCTCCAGGAGTGAAATCAGAATCCCTGGCAGGATGAAGGCCTGAGAGGTACTTAGAGGAGCAGGTTCTCCTTTTGGTCTGGTATAGACCCGGGGAGCTGCATTGGCTTTCTGGGCTCTACACCAACAGAACCTGGGCCACATTTTGTCTAGGAGATGGCTTGTCTCAATGCTCACTCTGGTGATTGGTATTTGACAGCAGTTGCTCTCTACTGCTGATGCTGCTGTAGAGGCAGAGTGCTGGACTGCAGCAGTGGCAAGTGGTGAGGGGGCCTCTTGTGGTCCTGATGGGTCATTTCTGAAATGAACAGACACCTTCCAGCCCTCTCCACATCCCCCCAGATGTCGATTTCTGCTGAGTGTTTCTCTTTCTCTTACTCTCAGGATTATGAGGTGCATGAATGCCTCAAGCAGCTGCTGATGTCCCTGCTGCGGGCTTACAGGTTCTCTCCCATCATCCCAGACCTGGGCTTACAGGTGAGTGGTACCTGAGAGTGTCTGAGAACAATGACTAGCCAAGGATTCATCCTTCCCTAGCTTCAGGTGTCCCAACGCAGGAGTAGTCAGGAGTCACAGATAGATTTCTGCACCAGAAGGGACCACTGTGCTCGTCTAGGCTGACTTCCTGTATAACATGGGCTAGAGACCTGCCCCAAAATAACACTTAACACAGGTCTTTCAGAAAAACATCTAAACCATTTGAGTGATGGTCCCTATTGTATTCCATTGAGGGTAATACATGTGCTCCCGGAGCCAGAACTTTTCAAAGTGGTAGTGTCTGTCAGTTCACGCATGTGTCTCTGTGTTGCCTCGTGGTTTTGCCCAAGGCAATAAAGGGCGGGGTGGACTGACTGCATCTTCAGTTTCTTCTTACTGCCCCATAGTCTGAGTTGGAGTCTCTGCTGTCTTCTCGTCCTTGGTGACGCATTTCCTGGAAAATTGTTTTTATTCTTTATTTAGGAATTTTAAGGTTGTAATCAACATCCTATACAGCAAACAGGGAAAGATTAGGAATGAGCTCTCAAAACTGGATACTCTCATAAAAAACCAACCTTCCACACAAACTTCCTCGTGGCTGGACTTTACAAAAACTAGACAAGCCATTTACAACACACACTTTGCTTCTCTACAAAAGAAAAAGGACACAAAACTAACTAAACTACTACATGCCACAAGGGGCCACAACAGTGGTTCCCTTAACCCACCCAGCAATAATGTTAATCTATCCAGCTATACTCTTAGGACAGATTCTTCTGCTGGGCTATCTCGGGGCCTCTCCTTCTGCCCCTCCACCCCCCACAAACATGATACAGTTCTGTGGTGACATAGAATCCTATTTTCGACGTCTCCGACTCAAGGAATATTTCCAAAACATCTCTGAACAACATACTAAACCACAGAGACCTTCTTACCAACACTACAAAAAGAAGGATTCTGGGTGGACTCCTCCTGAAGGTCGAAACAACAGACTGGACTTCTACATAGAGTGCTTCCGCCGACGTGCACGGGCTGAAATTGTGGAAAAGCAGCATCACTTGCCCCGTAACCTCAGCCGTGCAGAACACTGCCATCCACAGCCTCAGAAACAACTCTGACATCATAATCAAAAAGGCTGACAAAGGAGGTGCTGTTGTCATCATGAATAGGTCGGAATATGAACAAGAGGCTGCTAGGCAGCTCTCCAACACCACATTCTACAAGCCATTGCCCTCTGATCGCACTGAGGGTTACCAAAAGCAACTACAGCGTTTGCTCAAGAAACTCCCTAAAAAAGCACAAGAACAAATCCATATAGACACACCCCTAGAACCCCAACCAGGGGTATTCTGTCTGCTACCCAAGATCCATAAACCTGGAAATCCTGGGCGCCCCATCATCTCAGGCATTGGCACCCTGACAGCAGGATTGTCTGGCTATGTAGACTCCCTCCTCAGGCCCTACGCTACCAGCACTCCCAGCTATCTTCGAGACACCACTGACTTCTTGAGGAAACTACAATCCATCGGTGACATTCCTGATAACACCATCCTGGCCACTATGGATGTAGAAGCGCTCTACACCAACATTCCACACAAAGATGGACTACAAGCCGTCAGGAACACTATCCCCGATAATGTCACGGTAAACCTGGCGGCTGAACTTTGACTTTGTCCTCACCCATAACTGTTTCACATTTGAGGACAATGTATACCTTCAAATCAGTGGCACTGCTATGGTACCCGCATGGCCGCACAGTATGCCAACATTTTTATGGCTGACTTAGAACAACGCTTCCTCAGCTCTCGTGCCCTAATGCCCCCTACTCTGCTTGTACTACATTGATGCCATCTTCATCATCTGGACCTTGGAAAAGAAGCCCTTGGAGGAATTCCACCATGATTTCAACAATTTCCATCCCGCTATCAACGTCAGCCTGGACCAGTCCACACAAGAGATCCACTTCCTGGACACTACAGTGCTAATAAGCTATGGTCATATAAACACCACCCTATACCAGAAACCTACTGACCACTATACTTACCTACATGCCTTCAGCTTTCATCCAGACCACACCACACGATCCATTGTCTACAGCCAAGTTCTTCGATACAACCGCATTTGCTCCAACCCCTCAGACAGAGACAAACAACTACAAGATTTCTATCAAGCATTCTTACAACTACAATACCCACCTGCTGAAGTAAAGAAACAGATTGACAGAGCCAGAAGCATACCCAGAAGTCGCCTACTACAGGACAGGCCCAACAAAGAAAGTAACAGAAAGCCACTAGCCGTCACCTTCAGGCCCCAACTCAAACCTCTCCAGCGCAGCATCAGCAATCTACAACCTATCCTGAAGGATGATCCCTCACTCTCACAGATTTTGGGAGACAGGCCAGTCCTTGCTTACAGACAGCCCCCCCAACCTGAAGCAAATACTCACCAGCCACCACACAACAAAAACACTAACCCGAGGAACCTATCCTTGCAACAAAGCCCGTTGCCAACTGTGTCCACATATCTATTCAGGGGACACCATCATAGGGCCTAATCACATCAGCCACACTTTCAGAGGCTAGTAAACCTGCACATCTACCAATGTGATGTATGCCATCATGTGCCAGCAATGCCCCTCTGCCATGTACATTGGCCAAACTGGACAGTCTCTACGTAAAAGAATAAATGGACACAAATCGGACGTCAAGAATTACGGACAATCGGACGTCAATAACATTCAAAAACCAGTTGGAGAACGCTTCAATCTCTCTGGTCACTCGATTACAGACCTAAAAGTGGCAATTCTTCAAAAAAAACCCTTCAAAAACAGACTCCAATGAGAGCCTGCTAAATTGGAATTAATTTGCAAACTGGACACCATTAATTTAGGCTTGAATAAAGACGGGGAGTGGATGTATCATTACACAAAGTAAAACTATTTCCCCATATTTATCCCCCACCCCCCCCACTGTTCCTCACACATTCTTGTCAACTGCTGGAAATGGCCCACCTTGATTATCACTACAAAAGGTTTTTTTTTTTTTCCTTCTCTCCTGCTGGTAATAGCTCACCTTACCTGATCACTCTCATTACAGTGTGTATGGTAGCATCCATTGTTTCATGTTCTCTTTGTGTATAAAATCTCCCCACTGTATTTTCCACTGCATGCATCTGATGAAGTGAGCTGTAGCTCACGAAAGCTTATGCTCAAATAAATTTGTTAGTCTCTAAGGTGCCACAAGTACTCCTTTTCTTTTTGCAGATACAGACTAACACGGCTGCTACTCTGAAACCTGTAGTAGTTTTGTTTCTCGAAGTTTTGTAGGGCTAAGGATGGGGGATGCCGCTCCAGCGGTTTTCTGCCCAATCCCGCGCACCCCCCCGCCTCCAGCATCTGCATCTGGGTACTGAACGAAGTCAGGATGTTCCAGGGTTTTCGGTAGTAATTTTCTTTTGGGACGCCACTTTGGACTCTGCTGCCAAATGATCCTCCCCACCCAGCACCCGGGTCTGGGTATTGGATTATGACTGAGAGGCCATGATTCAAAGTCTGCACTTCCTACCCTTGTTTGTTGTCCCTGAATGATGAGTACCAACACTGTCTGTACTGTTTGGGGGACGCCCACACCATGGCCAGGCCACCATGGCCTGCCGCACATGGGAAGGCAGAGCCCTTCGCCTTAAGCACCTCATGGAGGTTGCCACAGAGCCGCAGTTGGATCCTGGCTGGGGAACAAGCCCCCCAGCATCCTTCCCCCCGTCATTCACCAGCCTGAATAATCCATGAGTGTACTTCTTACCATGGAGCCCCAATCCAACGTCACTGGTACCAATATTACTGACTCCGCAGTGGGGCCTAGCCGTGAATCATGGAAGCATGCACATAAGTATGGCAGTAAATCTCCCTCCAGATCTAAGAAAGACCCTGCCATCCATGAGTTCCGGCCAAGGGGGAGCACTGTGCTCCAAGGCCCACAAGACCGACCAAAGACTGCATTGTTCACCAGATCCACCGGTACCAGTTATAGACCCCCCACACCCTTGCATCGGTTCCAGTGATGTCCAGTGATGCTGATCCTGAGACAGGGCCTGTTACCAGCTCCAGTCCCATCCATAGACTTGGTACTCCTGCCTCTGGGGAGACTTGGAGATGCCCCTGGGCCTCATGAACTGTTCACCCTGGAAAGCATGACATCTCTACACTCTCTGGTACTCTACCAAGGGAGCTCCATCCTGTGCATCGGATCTGCCACCTTCTGTTAGTGGTCATGTAACACACCCCATTCTGTTAGCTCCTTTGGCACTACTATTGGTGCGAAATTCTGATTCTCCCTCCGAGTCTGAGGATCTGGACATTACGCATGGCCTGCTGCTTCTGTTCTGAAAGCATGACTATCGGATGGTTTCAACGTGTAGCCTTTTATGTTATTCAAAGTAAATTTAGTGATGTATGACACCACTGTCGGTTCTGTTCTGGTGGCTCAAGTTCAACAGAGTTACCTCTGCCACTTGTTTTAGATCTAGAGCTTCTAGGAATATATGAAGACCAAGGAAAGTAACCCGTACAGTCACAAGAACAATGTCCAATATCTTTTATCAGCTTTTTATAGTTACCAGCAAAGTTATGGCTATCCAAGCATATATAAATCCTAAATATATCCATGCACAAATTATAGCTACAGTCCTACTCACATCCTCCTAGACAGTGTTAGGGTCTGGTGGGTTTCTCATTGATTGAGCATCAGTAGAGGGATGATTCCTGCTGGAGTTTTCCCATAGGGAGCTCAGTTTTTCCCAATTTGGACACCCTCTTTTATGATGTGATTCTGACTAATCTCATACCCTGTACATGTGCATGAAAGTGTCAACCCTCTTTTTCCTTATTTATATTGTCCCCCTCAGAATATCGTACCCCATTTTCTGTAAGTTGTATATAGTTCCCTTTATTCTTATTAACATTGATTCACAACCTGTATCCTGTGATTAAGGGGAAAAATGTG